TAGTGAGGCCCTGTTTTAAAATAAAAATAAACCCTGATCTGCCACCCCCACAGTTGTTTGAGAGCCATATCAATAGTGAATTAGATGGGTATGGTAGCTCACATCTGTAATCCCAGTTACTCAGGAGGCAGAGATTAGGAGCATCAGGGTTCACGGCTAGCCTGGGAAAAAAAAGTATTGAGACTCCCACCCCATCTCCACAAACAAGATAGACAGGGTGGGTGCACATCTGTAATCCTGGCTACACCAAAGGTGTAGGTAAGAATATCAAGATCTGAATCTAGCTGGCAGAGTGGCTCAAGCGGCAGAGCACCTGCCAAGCAAGTGTGAGGACCTGAGTTCAAACCCTGGTACCGCCAAAAAAAAAAAAAGATCTGAGCTATCCCAGGGCAAAAAAGTGAAGACACTATCTAAAAAATGCCTACAGCAAAAAGGGGCTGGAGGCCTGGTTCAAGAAGTAGAGTGCCTGCCTAGCAAGTGGGAGACCCTGAGCTCAATCCCCAGTACCATTAAAAAATAAAATAAAAATAGTGAATTAGTTGTGTTAGATCAAAGGGGTTTGGCAGCAAGTCTCAAACCTGGGAGCTCCTCTCCAAAACTCCTTGAAATTTAATTTCCAGGCAGTTGTGGGTGTGGGCCTGTTAGTTCCAGCTCCTAGGATTGCATAGTGAGTTTGAGTCTAGCCAAGGCTACATAGCAAGACACTGTCTCAAAAAGACAAAATAAATAAATAGTTGGAGTGTGAGCCACACAGTGCTGTTCATCCTCACTTTCAGGTATAGAAATTGGCAGTTCTCTGAGCAAGGCATCACCAGATCTTTATTGTTTGGAGGGAAAGGCAAAACAGATCATTATGTGGCTTTTTTTTTTCCCTTGGTGGGACTGGTTTTGAATTCAGGACTTTGTGCTTGCAAAGCAGGTGCTATACAGCTTGAGCCACTCCTCCAGTCCATTTTGCTTTGGTTATTTTGGAGATGGGGCCTTGCAAACTATTTGCCTGGGCTGGCCTCAAACGTTGATCCTCCCAATCTCAGCCTCCCAAGTAGCTAAGGTTTCAGCAAGAGTCCTCAGCACCTTGCTTATTATATGGCTTTCTAGTATTTTGCAGTGGGAAGACCCAAGGTAGGAGTTCCATAGAAACTGTCCCTATCATTGTTCACTTGTTCTAGGATTTGTCAATCATCTTTGGCTCACACAGAATCACTGAAGTAGAGTTGGTGTTTTTAACACCACCATTTATTTTTTTCTCAGTACAACCTTTTTGTTTAAGTGTTTGTTGAGTGTCTACAGGGAGAAACAGAGCACACAGGGACAGATGTCTTCTCCCTTCTTTCCGTTATTTCCTTTTCTCAATCTTGGCATCTTAAGTCACTAGTCTTTATTCTGCATAGTGGTTGTGCCAGGTAAATATGAAGAATGTTGATTTCTTTCCTCCCAGTTCTTTTTTTTTTGGCAGTACTGGGGTTTGAACTCAAGGCCTTACACTTGCTAGGCAGGTGCTTCTACTGCTTGAGCCACCCCATCAGCCCTCTTGGGCTGTCTTTAGTACCTTTTGTTGTTGTTGCTGTTGTTTTGGGATAGGGTCTCCCTATGTAGTCAGGCTGGCCTAGAACTGGAGATCTTTCTGCCTCAGCCTCAGGAGGACTGGGATTACAGGTGTGGTTACCACATCTGGCTTTAGTCTTATTTAATAGCCATTTACTACCAACCTCTGTGTAAACTAACACTCTCTTGATTTGTAGATAAAACTCAAAATGTATCCCTAAGCTTGATGCACCTATCCTCCCTAAAGCCAAGAACGTGCTACAAACTGCATCTAAATCCTGTGGATGCCTCCCTTGCTGTAATTAACCCCTGCCTGATGACCACACCCATGCATTTTGCAAGCACATAGACTTATGATTTTTTTTTTTCCTGAGAGAGAGTTTCAGCAAAGTTTATTGGGGAAACAGAAAGTGAAAGGTTTTTATTGGGGAAACAGAAGGTGAAAGTAAAATGGGGGAACTCCTCCAAGGAGGAGGGGACCTGCAAATTGGTAGCCCTGATTTATGACTTTCTTTTCTGTCATTATAAAAGCTCATGTGACCTTTTCTGCGGTGGGACATGTCACTCAGGATAACTTGAATCTGTTCCTGGGCCATAGTCACTCATATTTGGCTCAGAATAAACTATTTTCTTTTTTTTTTTTTAAGTTTTAGCAGTGATTTATTTTAGTATAATAGGATAAAGTACAGATGGGGAGGGGTAGAGAAAAAGAGAGAAACATTTCTGTTCCTCACATAGGAAATGGGAGCAAAGACTCCTAAACTATTTTCTTATTTCGTTAAAGCAGAGTTGGTATTTTTATGTAAACAAATCGCTATGTCTTCTCTCAATGCAACTTTCGCTGTCTGAAGTGCTTATCGAGTGTCTGCAGGGATGATAAAATAGGCCACACCGGGACAGATATCCCTTCTTCTCTTCATTTTTCCATTATTTTCTGTCCTGAATTTTGGCACCTTAACTCAGTAGCCTTGTCTTTCCAGAGAAGCTTCACAGAAGACAAAGAAAAAAAGATCTTTATACACTCATTCATTTAGCAGTCACTTAAGTCAACAACTTTTTTTTTTTTGGCCAGAGTGAGGTTTGAACTCAGGGCTTTGCACATGGAAAGCAGGAGATCTACTGCTTGAGCCACAGTGCAGTCCATTTTGCTCTTTTTTATTTTTGGGGAGATGGGGTCGCTCCATCCATTTACCTAGACTGGCCTCGAACCTCAATCTTCACGATCTCAGCCTCCCAAGTAGCTAGGATTGCAGGAGTGAGCCACCTGTGCCCACTCAGTCAACAACATTTGTGCAATGCCCTCCATGTGGTACACTCTGTCCTAAGCTGAGTGGAAACCAGGACGAACAAGTAGCACTGCTACCTTGGGCTCGCCTCACCCCTCAGAACCTTAAGCTTCTCATCTGTGGAGATGGAGTAAGAATCTCTACCCTCTGCTACTTCTCCTCCTTTTTTTTTTTGGTAGTATAGGGGATTGAACCTAGAGCCTCCCGCTTGCTAGACAGGGGCTCTGCTACTAGAGTTGGGCCCTCAGTCTTTCTGTTTTTAGTTTGTTTATGACATAGGGTCTTACTTTTGCCCAGGCTGGCCTTGAACTCTTGAACCTCCTGCCTCAGCCTCCCAAGTAGCTGGGATTACGACATGTATCGACATACCCGGCAGCAATGTTCTAACAAGTCCTTCAGGTGATTTGAATCCATGTTCACATCCAACAGCCTCTGCAAAGAAGCATCTGCTATATGTTATACAGCATATGATAGGAAGGAGAGGGGATATTTAGATTGGCGGTGGGAGAATGCCTGCTCAGCAGGCAGGAAGCCCTGAGTTCCCTGCGGACTGCCAATAAATAAATAAATAAATAAATAATGGAGATTTAGGTCCTTCTTTTCCCCCTTAATAGAAACCCTTTTCCCTCTTTGTTCCCCAGTGAAGGGATAAAGGGCTCAGAATGAGACCTTTGGAACACTAAAATATTTTAGGAGATAAGTCTATGGAAAAATATTGGTCAGAGGTTGTTGGCCTGGGTGTGCTGTCTAGCCACTTCTGTGAGTGGAGGAAGCAAGAGGAGAGAGGCTGGTATGTCAGACTCTGTTCCCCCAACACAAACAGAGCAGCCAGGAATGAAGAGGAGGTCTTCACACTGGCTCCACAGCGTTTCTCTCCCTCTCCCAGTTACCTGTGGGTAGTGGTGCTGAGAACTCTGCAAAGGGTTCCTGGGAGGCAGGAAGGACGGAAGGTGGAAGAGGGGGGTCATAGGATGCACAGCAAGATGGATGCCATCTCTGCACCCCTGCTGACAGCTTTTTAGGTTATCCTGCAGTGGGGGAAATAACAGAAATTGATTTTTACTTTAGTAATATTTCCAGCTCTGCATGGAAAACAGAACGGTACAGAAGATGGAGATTTATAATTGCAATTATGCATTAGTCGGGGTGGGGAACTGAGGACTGTGTGTGAAGTGGGAACAGAGTTAAGAGAATATGGAGTGGATGGTGGGCTGTGCCTGTAATCCCAGCCACCCTGGAGGTTGAGGCAGGAGGATCAACAGCTCAAGACCCTGAATCAAAAATAAAAAACAACTGGGGGCGCGGCTCAAATGGTGGAGCACTTGTGTTCATTGAAGGGGGGCGGAGAGGAAAGGGAAGGGAGTTGAGTGTAGATTGGCCCATGTTGGGAGGTGAGAGCGAGGAGACATCTTCCATTTGGACTTGGTGAGTTGTGTGTACTTGGAGGGCCGACATCCTGGAAACGCAAGTTCTGGAATCAGTTGGCTATAAGGACCCGAGCACAAATGAGTGACATCCCCTCCTCCTAAGGTGCCTGGGCTTCGGAGTCTGCAGGCAAAGCCTCAAAACTCCCGGTGGAGAGTAACTTTCCATCACTGTTCATGGCTCTATCCCCAGCGCCCGGATCAGTGAGTGGCACAGAATAGGTGCTCATTCAACATCGCTGCACATTTGCATGGCTGACTGACTCACTCCAAGCCTCCCTTCCACATCTGTACCTGGAAAGGTTGTGCAAAGCCTCCTTTCCAGTAGGTACTCAACAGGTTGTATGTTCCTTCTTCACAATAGACCGGGTCCCTAGGCCATAGAAACGAGGTTTCTTTCTCCCCCCTCCCCCCCCCGCCGTCTCCACCTTCCTTCGCCTCCGCAGCCCCACTGGGTCGCCAGGAGCACGTGGGCCGGGGAGGCCGGGTGAGAAGGGGCTCGAGCCGAGCCGGTCTGCCCAGCTTACGTAAGGATCGCGGCCCGGGCAGGCGGCCGGAGGCGGCGCCGCCCAGCGGGATCGGGGCTGGGAGTCTGGTGGCGCGGCTGCAGCGAGGTGTGTGTTTATCTGACTGCTTTTGACCTACACGCCGCTGTGGAGCGCATCCTCCAGCCCTGGGCGGAGGTGGACCTCTGGGACAGCGCGCGGGCGGCGGGCGACCGGCAGCGGCGACTTGGGGGATGTGACAGCCGCCGGGGAGGGGACTACACGCTGCCCACGTGCGGGGACTTGTGCGGGGGCGCCCTGCGAGTCACTCCCTCCCCGGGTTTCTGGCGGAGACTGGTTCGGGGATGCCCGGCCCCCTCCGGACGTGGCGTGGGGAGTGCTGGAGAGGAAAGGATCGAGGTGGGACTGGCCGGGCGGACCTCTGATCCCCGGAGGCTGACTGCGCGGGCGGGGGCACAGGAGTGAGTGCTACACAATCGCTGCCCCAGGGCGAGGAGGTGGCGGAGGGCGGGGCTGCGGGGAGGGGTTGTCTTAAAAGTCTCTCCTTCCCACTGTAGGGGCGGCAGGCGCGTCCCCGCGCGAGCAGAGGGTACCCGAGGCAGGGGCCAAGAAACAAAGTTCCCGGGCTGCCTGCTGGGCTGTTGTGTGCTGGCTGCCCATTGGGCCGCCCCCTCCTCGCCAAGGCCATGGCTTCCAAACTCCTGCGCGCGGTCATCCTCGGGCCGCCCGGCTCGGGCAAGGGCACCGTGTGCCAGAGGATCGCCCAGAACTTTGGCCTCCAGCATCTCTCCAGCGGCCACTTCTTGCGGGAGAACCTCAAGGCCAACACGGGTGAGGGGCTTAGGGGGCAAAGAAAGGGGGCGAGCCCAGAGGGGATCGGGCGAGTTGGGGGAGGGGAGCGGCCCGAGAGGGGTCGGGTCACGGTCCCCCGCGCCCTTCCCCCGCCTGCGTGAGGTCGTGCAGGCTGGTACGTGCCGGAGCGCATGCAGCTGGCCGCCCGCAGTCGCGCTGCTTAACCGCCCCCGAGGAGGAGGCTGATCTCGCCGGGAGGGTGGTGGGAGGTGCCCGTGGCTCCTCCCGTCGGGGAGAAGCCGGTGAGCTGCGGGCTGGTGGAGCGAAAGCCGGGCAGCTTCGCTCTCACGCTGCTTCCTTAAGGCAAAGCTGCCCGCCAGCTCCCTGGTCCCCATCCGATCTCTCCCCCAGGTCCCAGTGAGCCGCTCGTCCCTTTCCCTAGCCGGATTCCGGGGGGTCGAGCACCGCCCACCTGTGGGAGTCCCGCCCGGGTGCGCGCCGGGGAACCTGTGGCGCCGCGGGGCTCGCAGCCGCGCGCCCCTGCAGCCCCTCTGCGCGCTGTGGGGCCTGGGGACCGAGCCCCGGGTGGCTTTGAAAGGCCTGTGTGTTCGCTGCCGCCTTCTAAGGTAAACTCTCCCCACCAACTCCCTCTCGTCCCCAAACTGGGGCCTGGCTGCCTGGAGACTTGGAGGAGACTTGTTCTGATAAATTGCATTTTGAATCCAGCCTTCCTGGAAATGGCTTCTTGAGAATGTCTCCCCCGGCTGGCGTGAGGGAAGCTGGGGATGCTGATCGCCTCATCTTCGTCTGGCAGTGTTAAGTTCTTCCCTTCTTCCCTTTCTCTCTCTCTCTCTCTCTCTCTCTCTCTCTCTCTCTCTCTCTCTCTCTCTCTCTCTCTCTCTCTCATGTCCACGCCGGTTCCAAGCGAATCGGCATTAAAAGCAGCAGAGGTGCTGGCTGCGGGGCACGTACCCTTTTGGGATGCTGATGCTCCTAGTTAGCAACTGCCTTTATGAAAACGTCTGTTGCAAAGGGGCCCTTCACTCTGCTCCTGTTCTCCACGGCCTGCAAGGTGGCTGTTGCTCTGATGGGCTAATTATCCAGGAATCTGCATTGCACAAGCACCCATTAGTGTGAAAACAGGGGTGGAGGACGGTACCGGAAAACACAAAGAAAGCTTAAAAACAAGGAATTGAGAAGAACATCTGAGGTAGTTTATCTATTAGTTTTTTTTGGTGGTGCTGGGGTCCTGGCGCTTCCTCACCCACACGGCTCAGATGGAAGCAATGTGTGTACCAAACTGCACTTGGAATTCTCTTAAGTGGATTTTGTTACTCTAAGCGGCTTTGTGTGTGTGTGTGTGTGTGTGTGTGTGTGTGTGTGTGTGTGTGTGTAAGGGGTGTATTGGGGTTTGAACTCAGGGCCTACACTTTGAGCCACTTCACTAGCCCTTTTTTGTGTTGGGTATTTTTTAAGATACAGTCTCGGGAACTGTTTGCCCCGACTGGCTTCGAACTGTGATCTTCTGATCTCTATTTCCTGAGTAGCTAGGATTACAGGAGTGAGCCATCCGCGCCCGGAGGCTTTTTTTTTTTTTTTTTTTGGTACTAAGGATAGAACACAGGACTTCTCAATGCTAGGCAAGTCTCACTCTTTTTAAGATTTTATTTTGAGATAGGGTCTTGGTAAATTGCTCGGGCTAGCCTTGAACTTGCAATCCTCCTCAGCCTGGTTTGTGCCATCATGGCTTTATTTTACTTCTAATACCACATTCAAATGCATTTTATTCTTTCTGTGTTTGGACTGCAGTTTGTGAGAAGCGCAGCCTGAGGGTTCTGTGTACAAATTGGGCTTCTCTAGGGGAGGGGTGATGGGGACAGTGATGAAGACAGAGCCAGAGTGACATTAAGTCCTTTCATAACATTCTCTATACCTGACTTGGTGACTTGTTTCCTTCTATCATGAAGTGCTTCACACTGCACCTCCTGGGGATCAGTGGCCCTTTCCATGGGAAATGACTTATTTCTGTGTTTTTTTAGGGGTTTTGAAAATATTTCACTTGCTGTTTTCCATTGTTCTTCTTCTTCTTTTTTTTAAAATCCACTTTAACTTTTCCTCTGCCATGATTTGTAGTTTCTGTTCTTTCAAACGCCTACCTTGTTTTCCTCCCTGGAGTAGAAGTGGCTTTGAAATGTTTAGATTTTTGGGGGTGGGGGTGGGGGTGGGTTGGGATCAAGCAATTGTTTTTCCTCATGAACTGATTTAAAAACCTTATCAAGGAAAGAAGAGAGAGAAAAGCAATTTGTTCCTACTGGACTTGGGGGTGTGATCTCAGATTATTTTTCTCTCCTAAAGTCTAGGTAAAAATCTTAAGAGGCCCACTGCCTGGTAAATAAGGAATCATTCCATGGTATTTATTTTTCTGTCTGTTGTCTGCTGTTTGCTTTTAGCTAATGTCCTGGTAGAGAGGCACAACAACCCTTTTGGATGTCCACTTTTACAGTTGAAGGTTTGAAGGAGATGATGAACTAAACACAGCAGAACCCCAGGAAATAGAACCTTTATAGCATTTTGAATTGGAAAGTAGCTCAGGCCATCTGCTGCAGTCTGGATTTGGGCACAGTCCTGAGGACATGGCTTGCCTCCTCCTGCAGTGACTGGGTGGTGAAAAGCTGCCCTGCAGGAAGGGGCCACTCTGACCTCATACTTCTGGGAAGGAAGTTTCCCCTTACCTGCCCTGTGAGAATCCATCTCTTGCCTTGTTGCTCTGTTACTGTTGTTGAACACAGTTACAATGCAGGGTCATAGACGTCTAATTCCCCCAGTAGCTATTTACTGAGTACCTGCTAGATGTCACTGTTTGGGGTTCTGGGGACAATAGTGTTGTTTAAGATAATCTGTGCCCCCGTCCCTCCTACTTATGCCATCTCCCACTTTCCATTTGGAGACTGGGACCTGGCACACTACATTAAAAGCGGCTCAACAAGTCTATGATGAAAATATGAGTTGCAAATTCTACCATTTTCTGTAGAAATCACATAGCCTGTAGCAAGAGTCCATTCTGACTTTTTCTTTTTCTTTTTTTTTTTCAGTATGGGGGTTTGCTAGATAGACAGTCTAGGCTGTCTAGGTTTCAGGCTTGCTAGATAGACAGTCTACTGTCTGAGCCACATCTCCATCCCCTTTCTGTATAATTAGCTCTGATTTATGGTGAAAGTTTGTATTTACAATGGACCTGAGATTAGTTTCCTGATAGCTGTCATCCCTGGCCCTTTCTAGGCTGCCTGGAGCTATCCATGCTTTTTTTTCTTTTTTTTTTTCTTTTACCTGTCACACCACCAATTGAAGCAAAACAACACATGCTGCCACTTCACCCAAAAGCTGTGTTTTTACTCTCCCCCTTCTTGATGGCTATGCATGCTTATTGACAATTTATCTGAGGACCCACCCTCCAGATCTTTGACTCTCTTTTTCTTTAGAACACTACGAGAGAAAATAGAAGGGAGAGTTACCCAAATGGCTAGGAGCTGGGTCTACACTTACAAAGAATATTAACTTTCCCTTCTGGGTGTGTATGTATGGTAAGTTAAGTACATACACACATAGGGCTGGCACTCCATAGAATTGGCCCCATCAAAAGCTCAGATACTTAGCTAGCTGTGGTGGTACACACCCATAATCCCAGCACTCAGAAGACTGAGGCAGGTGAATCTTGAGTTTGAGGGCAACCCGGGTTATATAGTGGGACCCTGTCTCAAAAGAAAGTTCTGATGTTTAGTAAAGACTTTATTCACTAGATTATATCTGAAGGATATGAGAATCCCTTTTTAAGGGTTGGGAAAACAGTGGTATTAAAACAAGTCACATTGTTGTAGACCGTATCTACTCTCTCAAGTACAGGAATACTGGCGGGTTTCCATTTGAAAGCATCATGGACTTGATTGCAAAAATGTTCAAGAACAAACCTGTTTCTGCTCTTAATATTAACTGCAGTTCTTGCTGAGGTCTTGCAGATGGGACTAGCATTGCAAATTAGGCTATGGGCTGAGCCTCTGAAAAAATGATCCTGTTCAAAGGGCTTGGGCTTTTTGAGTACTCATTAAGTAGAAATGTGTGTCTTATGTAAGATTGAACATTTCTGAGGATTGGAGGGAAAAGGGGTCGAGCGCTTCGAGAGTCAGAGTTCAACTTTAAATGGTTAACCTTTTTTATAGATCATACAAAGGCTCACTGCAGGATTTGTAGGTTATGCCATATTCCATTTTCCTCCTAGCTTGGCGAAATTCAGGTTGAAACCCTGGTCAAGCAAGGGTCTGACCAGTTTCAAGTCATCGCCAGTCCACAGGTCCACTCGTTATTGGCTTTTTTTTTGTGTGTGTGTGTGGTACTGGGGCTTGAACTCAGGGCCTTCACCTTGAGCCACTCCACCAGCCCTATTTTTGTGAAGGGTTTTTCGAGATAGGGTCTCTCAAGCTATTTGCCTAGGCTGGCTTCAAACCATGATCCTCCTTATCTCTGCCTCCTGAGTAGCTAGAATTATAGGCATGAGCCACCGGTGTCCGGCCCATCTGCTTCTTAATTAGTTAATATTATTATTATTTTTGAGCTGGTGGAGTGGCTCAAGTGGCAGAGCGCCTGCCTAACAAGTGTGAAGCCCTGAGTTCAAACCTCAATACCACACACAAAAAAAGAAAGAAAAACCAAACCTAATTATTATTTGTATGTGGTGCTGGGTTTGAACTCAGGGCAAATGCTCTGCCATGTATGCCACTCTCCCCTTCTTTCCTTTCAGTTTATTCAGATATTCTCACACTTTTGCCTGGGCTGGCCTTGAACCATGATCCTCTGATCTCTGCCTCTCAAGTAGCTGAGATTACAGGTGTTATGTTTTAGATTTTTTCTGAGTTTTCACTGTTTATGGCTTGAATAAGGCATCCACAACAATAAGTGTGCCTTAGCCATGTGCACATCTGAATCTTTGTATGGTCATTAAAAAAAAAAAAGAAGTAGCCTTTTCTGATCAAAGTTATGTCTTGTAG